GACAGGCACCTCCTGGCAGCTATGGGCACCTGCCAGGCACCTCCCGGCAGCTAGGAGCAGCTGCCAGGCACCTCCGGGATGCTATGGGCTGCTTCCAGCTAACTTGCCTGGCGTCCAGCTAACTTGCCTGGCGTCCAGCTAACTTGCCTGGCATCAAGCTAACTTGCCTGGCGTCCAGCTAACTTGCCTGGCATCCAGCTAACTTGCCTGGCGTCCAGCTAACTTGCCTGGCGTCCAGCTAACTTGCCTGGCGTCCAGCTAACTTGCCTGGCGTCCAGCTAACTTGCCTGGCGTCCAGCTAACTTGCCTGGCGTCCAGCTAACTTGCCTGGCGTCCAGCTAACTTGCCTGGCGTCCAGCTAACTTGCCTGGCGTCCAGCTAACTTGCCTGGCGTCCAGCTAACTTGCCTGGCGTCCAGCTAACTTGCCTGGCGTCCAGCTAACTTGCCTGGCGTCCAGCTATCTTGCCTGGCGTCCAGCTAACTTGCCTGGCGTCCAGCTAACTTGCCTGGCGTCCAGCTAACTTGCCTGGCGTCCAGCTATCTTGCCTGGCGTCCAGCTAACTTGCCTGGCGTCCAGCTAACTTGCCTGGCGTCCAGCTATCTTGCCTGGCGTCCAGCAGTGCCCCCGCCTCTCTGCTCTCACTCTCACTCACTCACTTCCTCTCCCATTCTCCTCGCACCCAACCCCCTTCACGCCTCCTCATCACAGTAGCGGCGCCGGCAGGCCAGCATGGACGTGGTGGGAGCAGTGGGTTCAATGGCATTCAGCCGATCACTTCCCCTGCCTGCCTATCTCCCCCCCCCCCACACACTGCAGTACCGGCGGTGGCAGGGCAGCATTGACGTGGGGGTAGCAGTGGTCCCATCCTCACTCCCCTCTAACTCACCCACTTCCGCTCCCCTCTAACTCACCCACTTTCGCTACCCTCTAACTCACCCACTTTCGCTCCCCTCTAACTCACCCACTTTCGCTCCCCTCTAACTCACCCACTTTCGCTCCCCTCTAACTCACCCACTTTTTAAACTCTTCCACTTTCCTCCCGACTCCCTCCCCCCCTCCCCCGCCCTTCGCAGTACCGGCGGTGGCAGGGCAGCATGGACGTGGAGGCAGCCGTGGCGCGGGGCAAGGGCAGGATACCCGTGGCAGACTACTCGCTGGCAGGCCAGTTCACCCTGGATGCTGATTCACTCACTGGCAGCAGTGGCAGCAGTACCAGCAGCAGTGCTGGCAGCAGCACGGGCAGCAGTGTGCGCAGCTGCTACTCGTTCTGTATGTGTCCCGGCGGGCAGGTGGTGTGCACGAGCACCACAGCCGACGAGCTCTGCATCAACGGCATGTCCTTTTCCAACCGGTCCTCCCTCTGGGCCAACGCCGCCCTCGTGTCCTCTGTTTCGGCGACTAGTGGCGACTTTGACGAGTTTGTGAAGGACCATGGGCCCCTGGCAGGCATGGAGTACCAGGTGAGGGGCTCCGGGTTGGCAGGTTGCAGGCAGTGGGTAGCAGGTGGGCTGGTGGGTGGGTGGAACAGGTGGTGTGCGCGCCGACGAGCTCTGCATCAACGGCATGTCCTTCTCCAACCGCTCCTCCCTCTGGGCCAACGCCGCTCTGGTCTCCTCCGTGTCAGCAACGGCTGGTGACTTTGACGAGTTCGCCAGGGAGCATGGGGCACTGGCAGACATGGAGCACCAGGTGAGGGGCAATGAGCTTATCAACTGGGAGGGGTTGAGTTGTCCGGGTGGAGTGCACGAGCACCGCTGCTGGCTAGCTGTGGTTGATGCCTGTCTCCTTCTCCCTCAACCCGCTCATCTCCCTCATTTCCCTCCTCTCCCTCATGTCCCTCTTCTCCCTCATGTCCCTCCTCTCCCTCATGTCCCTCCTCTCCCTCATTTCCCTCCTCTCCCCTCCCCCCAGAGGGCAATCGAGCGCCAAGCAGCCGTGATGGGGGGTGGGGACTTCGTTGCTCCAGTGCAGCGGGCCACTGACTTCCTCCATGGGACTCTCTCCCCCGGTGAGTACCACCTCAACGTCCAGGGCAAAGTCTGCATGAACCACGGAAACTGAATCTCTCAGTACAGCCTTCCCCCCGTCACCTCTTTCGCTCTCTTCTTCAGACACGCAAGGCAGTATCTCTCAGTACATTTCCCCGCCTTGCCTGTCTTCCCCCCTTCCAGCCTCCGCCCGCCCATCGTCCAGCTTCCACCTTGGAGTGGCTCCGGCTCTCTTAAAGGCAGGCACATAGGTTTGAAGGTTCAAAAGAATCTCCGCCCCTCCCTTCCCTCCCCCCCTCCCAGCGTCCGCCCGGCCCTCTTCCAGTTACCGTCTGGGCGTGGCTCCTGCTCGTCTGGACCAGCTCTTCCTCACTTTCCCACTCTTTCCCCCCCCTCCCCCCCCGCCCCCCATCCATCATCCTCTCCCGCACTCCCTATCGCCCGCTCTTCCCCCCCTCCCAGCGTCCGCCCTGCCGTCCTCCAGCTACCGCCTGGGAGTGGCTCCGGCTCGGCTGGACCAGCTGTACTCGCCCTCCATCACACTCGCCATCCGACTCGCTTTAGAGGAATTCGATAAAAAGGTGAGGACTCATATCACAGCACAGCAGGCAACGGTGCACATGAATTAGGATTATCTCCACACTTGTCTCCCTCTATCATCCCTTGCATGCCAGATTGTGCATCGTCCCAGAAGTCCCCCTCTTTCCCCCTCTCTCTCATCCCCCCCTCCAACCCATCAGATGCCTGGTTTCATCTCCCCACACGCGCTGCTGCACGCTGCAGAGGTGAGCAATAATGGGCCCCCTGTAGCAGCCAATAGTCAACTATGAAGAGTGTGCCCAATAAGGTGGACAATGGTAGCTTCTGAGCTATGAGAGTGTGTCGCTGCCAGGTCTGGTCTCACCTCTCCTTACCTCTCCTCACTTCTCCTCACCCCTCCCCATGGGCTCTCCCCTCCTCTCCCCGTCACACCCTTCACAAGCGCACAAGCTGTCTGGTGCACGTGCAGTGAGGGGCAGAGAGCTATGAGAGCGAGTTGCTTCCCGGGCTGTTTCCAACTCTCACCACCGCCCTCGCTTGTCCGCTCCTCCCCCCTTCCCCTGTCTCATCACCTTCCCATCGCGCCCAACAGACGCGCACCAGCTGTCCGGTGCGGGTGGAGCGCGGGGCAGAGAGCTACGAGAGCGTGTCGCTGCCAGGGCTGTACCCGATAGGCGAGGGCGCGGGGTATGCTGGGGGCATTGTGAGCGCTGCTGTGGACGGCATGCTGGCAGCGAGAGCCATTCTTCGAAGTGCTGCTGCTACCTCTCCCTCATGACACTCACCACACCCCACCACACTCCACCGCACTCATGACTCACCACACCACTCTCAGCCGCCATGCTGGGGTCATTGTGTGCACTGCTGTGGACGGCATGCTGGCTGCTAGAGCCATTCTTCGTAGTGCTGCCGCTACCTCTCCTGCATCTCCCTCACGCTCATGAGTCATGATGCTCACTCACCCTCAGCCTAGACCCCTATGCTGTGGGCATTGTGAGTGCTGCTGTGGATGGCATGCTGGTGGCTAGAGCCATCCTCCGTGCTGCCGCTTAGACAACTTGGTTTATAGGGTGTGGGTTATAGACTCGTTACTCTGCACTAGCGTTTCAGTGATCTGTACTCGTTTAGGGTTTAGGCTCAGGGTGTTTTCTCTGATATTGCACTGAACTACATACTGGTAACAATATTTGGCCTCGGTAATGTCAAAAGACTAGCTTAGCTAGGAAGCCATAGAATGGCACAAGGTTTAGCTAGGAGCTAGGAGGAGCCATGAGAATGGCGAGAGGTTTTAGGTGCTAGGAAAGTTGAGGAGAGAAAAGAGGGTTGGATTAGAAGAGAGGGGAGTACAAGGAGGGGTTTGTACCCCCTACAGAAAGGTTCAGTAACAACCTACCAAGCCTATATTAAATTATAACTTATATAATTTGAACACACCCCCTAGGCTTGGTAGTCACATGCCCACACACACCCACACCCCCTAACCTAGCACCCCCATTCCAGCCACAGTGACAGCGACTCTAGGTCGGTCGACCCACGGTGCGTGAGGCGGCGACGTCGACCGCAGGGGCTGCGGCGGCGACGGCAGCAGCGGCGGCAGTGTCGACAGCGGCGGCGGCGGCGGCGTGCGGCTGCGTGGCCCCGACGCAAGCGGCGACAGCGGCGGCGGCGGCGGCTTCGACAACAGCGGCAGCGGCGGCGGCACCCGCACCTCTCGGTGACGTGGCCAGGCCCCGCGACGGTGGGACGGCCGGCGGGAGTCAGCCGTCGTCTGCGGAATGGAAGAGGGCACAGGGGAAGGAGGGGGGTGGGGGGGGGGGGGGCGCCACAGGCTGACATGCGGGCGGCCGGTCTAGCGGCGCCACAAGCATCACGCGGCCGGCTGCAGCCCGACGACGCCATCATGGAGCGGCGTCGATGCCGCAGCGGGGCGTCGACGTTGCGACGGCAGCACGACGTCGCCGTTACGCCGACCGCGCGCTGTCGCGTAGACGCCGCGGCAGCGTGACGGCGCCGTCACGTCGCGACAGCATCTTGACGCGACGGCGGAGCTGCGGCACGACGGCGCGGCCACAGCAGCTGGACGCGGGCGCCATGGACGTCGACGGCGGCGCCGCGGCACGACGACGCGGCCACAGCAGCTTGACGCGGCCGCCATGGCAGCGCGAGATAGAGAGAGAAACGAGCACGCAGCGGAAACGCGAGGAGCAGGCCCACACGGAACGAACTGCTCTAATACCATGTCAAAAGACTAGCTTAGCTAGGAAGCCATAGAATGGCACAAGGTTTAGCTAGGAGCTAGGAGGAGCCATGAGAATGGCGAGAGGTTTTAGGTGCTAGGAAAGTTGAGGAGAGAAAAGAGGGTTGGATTAGAAGAGAGGGGAGTACAAGGAGGGGTTTGTACCCCCTACAGAAAGGTTCAGTAACAACCTACCAAGCCTATATTAAATTATAACTTATATAATTTGAACAGGTAATGCGTCATATCATCTAAACTGCTGAGTGTAGCAAAGGTAAACAACATAACAAAGTCCGTGGTGAAGGGTAGAGCTGTGAAAAAAAAAAGGTACATGAAGTAGAGATATAACTACCTAAACACGTCAATGAATAGAATAGAATGGTACAGGTCTAATACATATCCTTATTGTATATCACATTGTACGACAATGCAACCATCTTCTTGTAGAAGGTAGGAGCCGGAATGTTCCAGTCCTTGTAGTACGTCTGGACCGACACCGGTGTGATCCCCACTCGCCCTCTGGGACACGAAACAAACCCCTTATGCTTCTTATACACTATCGAGCCCGCTTCTACCCCGTAATCCCCATTTTTATAATCTCTAAACTGCATTTCATCACCAGTGTACCTGTAGAGCACCTGCCGATTCACCTTGTTGGCGGCCGGCACCCTCCCACAGTACCGGTACTCGTCCGAGCGGCTTGTGTCGGCATCTACTGCGATGAGCTCCACGTCGTTTTCAGTGGGCAGGCCGCTGCAGGCGCCGGTTTGCTTGGAGGTGAGCGCCTGGTGGCCCTTGGGGTTGCAGGACTGGGAGCCAATGCGGGTTTGTTGGCACACATGCTTCATCCACGGCCATAGCTGGTGGTGGGGGGAGGATAGTAGGTGGGGGGAAGGGGATAGAAGAGAGGGTCAGGCAGGTGATGGGGAGGATAGGGGAGGGGGAAGGGGGTTTGACAGGGAGAGTGGAGGATGCAGGGGATAGGCTGGGGCAAGAAGAAGGCACATATGTTACATTCTTGACTGCCTAGCACCATGTTGCAGTGTGTTTGTGGAATAATGTAAGACTTCCAGAATTCCCAGACACGCACCTTGTTGATCTCAGGCGAGTTGTAGTAGCGCTGCCGCATGCGCTCCCAGTATGTCCCGGGGTCCTTCCCGCAGTGGTTGATGGTGACGGTGAGGCACGTGATGTACCCGGGGCTCTGCCCCAGGCTGACCATGAGCAGGCTGCGGATCTTGTTGCGCTTGCCATTGTTGAGCTTCACCCCGTCCCACAGCTGCGCGCACACGCCGCCCGTTATGTCCACCCCTGATGTGCAGTAGTCCAGGTAGTAGCAGTGGTCTCCTCCTATCACATAGTTGCAGGCAACCGTGCTGCCTGTAAAGGGGGATGGTGGCACAGGGGAGAGAGGAGAGAGGCGAGAGTTAGCTAAAAGGCAAATAGCTAAAAGCCAGCAGCCAGTATCAGCAGGCACATACGAGAAATTAAAGCCATCTGGCAGTAGTATAAACAGCCACCTGCCTGGGTTGAGCCAGTGCGTGCAGAAGTAGATCCCCGCCGAGTCAAATGTGAGGGAAACAGCAAGTAGGCACACAGCAGAGACAAGAGCCGCCTGGCGGAATTACGGTCGTGAGACCCAAATGGAACGCAACCACCCATTCTTACCTGGGTTGAACCAGTGCGTGCAGAAGTAGATCCCCGCCGAGTCAAACGTCAGGCGGCCCTTGGACTGAGGCGTGAAGACAAAGTTGTTCTTCACCGACGTCAGCATGCAGTCCCACGAATAATGCACGTCCGCGCCGCACCGGAACCCCGCAAACAAATAATCGTGCAGGAAATTATTGTGAACCTTCACTCCGATGGACCCGCGGTAAAGGTTCACCAGCTCCCAGGCGCCGAACACATCATTATTGGTGATCACATTCTTAGAGGAAGTGAGGTTCATTCCGAGCCCGCACATGCCCATGCGGATCACCCCCGGCGACCGCTCATACGTCCCCGGCGCCGTCACAAAGAGCGAGTCCAGCTTGGTGTATCCGGACCGGAACACGTCGATGCGGCCCAGCACCGGCGCCTGTGTGAACTGAATCCCAAAGGAGCGGTAGATGTGCAGTGCCGGGCAGATGATCTCGTACCCCATCAGGGCGCCGTACTCGGGGAGCGACTCGCAGAAGGGCGAGCTGTTCTTGACGGAGCTCCTCAGCCCGATGCCGATGAACAGGATGTTGCTGGCGTTGTGCACGCGCAGTACCGGCTCGTCCGACCGCGAGAGCGCGAGGGAGAGGCGCGAGGGGAGGGTGCGTGAGCGGAAGATGGTGCAGGAGAAGTTGGAGCCGAAGAGGAGGCCGCGGGAGAGGGAGATGGAGCGGTAGAGGACGAGGGTGACGGTCTGCGAGGGGGAGTAGCGCGTGCGCTTGGCGATGTCGGACGAGGAGAACACCTTGATCACCGGGCTGCTGTGCCGTGGCGAGCACGGGCTGGCAGCTGCCTTGGGGCTGGCGACTCTCTTGTCTCTCCTGAGGTTGGCGGATCCTTGCGGGCTGACGGCAGCAGTGGTGGCTTTAAGGCGCTGCCACGACAGTGTGCCGCCCGGCATCATGGCGTCCAGGTCGTCCGCTGTCATCACAGCGTACCGCCCACCGCCCGCTGTGGCCCCTGTGGCTCCTGGGGCCCCTGCGGTCCCACCGGCCGCGGTGCGAGTAGTAAATCCACTCGCATCCCCGTCCCCCCGCACGCTGTCCCCCTCCCCAACGCCCTGCGCCTCAGCTACCCCTTCCCCCTGGGCAAACAGACCTGTCCGACCCTGCTCTCTCTCCTCTCTCTCCATGGCCCTCGCCTGTGCCGCCCATTTGCTCCTCGCCTCTGCCGCCCACACGGCCTCCTTGGCTCGGCTCGCTTTGACCAGTCGCTTCGCCTGCTGCCGCCACTGCCGCAGCCGCGGGGCGATCAGCGCCTGCTGCTGCCGCCAGTGCGCCTCCTGCATTTGGATCTCCTCCGCTGTCTGCGGCCGCTGGTCCCGCTCCCACCGTTGCTGCTCCCGCACCGCCCACTCGGGGGCTGCTCCGTTGCCCTTCTTCCCCTGCACCTGCCATTGCAACTGCTGCTGCTGCTGCTGCTGCTGCTGCTGCTGCTTGCTTTGAAAGGCATCTACCCGTCGCTGTTTCTGCACCCGCTGCTGCTGCAGCTGCTGCTGCCACTGCTGGTGCCGGGACGACCTGTGGGATGGACTGTAACTGTAAGGCCCGGTTACGCCCCATAGCCTTCGGCTCCGCCTGCTTCCCCCCTCCGCCTCATCCGCCTCCTCCTCCTGCTCCTCCTGCTGCTCCTCCTGTTCGTCTGTCTCGGTGCTGGTAACTCCTGTAACAGTAACGAGCCCATCTACATGCGGCAGCTGTGGCCCTTCAAACACTGAGGGCAGCGCCTCCCCCTCCCCTGAACCTGCCTCCCCCTCTCCACTGTATGTCGCGCCTTGCCCCTCGATCGCCTCGGGCGTGCGCTCGGCATCACCGTCCCCTGTTAGCCTCCCCGCATCCTCACCGTCGGTCGCTTCCGTATCTCCCCCCAATCTACTCCACCTCTCCTCTTCCTCCTCCTCCTCCTCCCCCTGCGCCTCTACCGCATCGTCACCGCACAGCACCGCATATCCCCGCACCACACCGCCCTCCGCTGCGGAATCTCTACTGCAGCTCCGGCCTTCGCGGCTTATCGCTTTCACAGTGCGGTTCGCCGCAAGCCCGCGGAAGCGTGTCCGCAGAGTCCGCAATATCCCACCGCGGAACGCGCGGGGGAGCGGAAGTCCCGCCGCTGCGGATACTGCTTCTGCGGAAACTTCCGCAGCGTGGCACAGCAGAAGCGCGGTGAGGAGCGGCAGTAGTAACGACGTCCCCGTTAAGAGATGACGCCGCATTTGTGTATAGGATGTAGTGTAGTTATGACTCGAGAGAGTGTTGACCGTAAACGACGTTCTAGGCGGCACTATTAGCGGAACTTTCTGTGAGAAAGACTACGCACGCGGGATTACGCACAAGCAAAGGATCGGAGTGAAGTCCAATCACGCATCAATGAAGAGCTGCGCGCTAGTTAGATTAGTTAGGCACCCAAGACTGAACGGAAAGCTGGCTAGCATTTCTGGTCTACTAGAACAAATGCCGTTGGGAGCCATGATATACCTTTACCCAGCCGAGAGAATCCGCCCCTCCCCCGCACTAACGCACGTTGCCCTGGTCGGTCGGTGGTCGGGGACAAATGCGGAATGCGAAGAATTGCAGGTTACCACATATGCTTGGTAGGTGGGGTTTCCCGCGCAACGAAGAAAGTTCTCACACCTGCCCGCCTCAGTTCGCTGCGTTTGATCGCACTTTCCTTCGGCCTGCCCGCCTGCCTGGTTCCGCAAGGCCTGGTCAGCACTTTCGTCGCTTGCCGCACAAGCAGCAGAGAACACGTTTGTCAGATCGGTCGGATCGGGAGGGAGACGCCTTGCCCGAAAGCAGCGTTTGTTGAAGTCGGTGGGCGCACAAGGATCAGTGCCAGTGCGAAACGACATTATCATGGACATGCTCCATGCGACAATGACCATGTGGTGATTCGAGCATTGGCGAAAGCTACCGAAGTTACATGTGCTTGTGCAAATGCGCAACCTGTGTGTGCTGTGCACACCAGCGAATCAGGTGGAACAACAGAGTAGGTGGGTCAACGTCAGCGCCGCCTTGGACCGCGTTGACCCTGACCTGCATTGTCTCCACACGAGGGTGGTACAGTTGCAGACACCAGCTGGACGTGAATAAGAGCACAATAATCGAATGATGATTTTACCCATCAATACAATGTTAGAACTAAAGCTGAACCTAAAACGACTAAAGTCAGCTCCATCCATGCCACTACAACACAGTTACGCACAGCAAACTAAAGCTACAAAGTAAAGCAGCAGACACTCCACTTCAGGCTAGAAACGAGGAATTGGCGGTAACTACCTAGGCATTTCATTCATACCCATCTATATAAACAAATTGGAACAGGTTCAGAAGCTGTCAGTCCAACCCGCTGCTGCCACCAATTTCTTAAAAACCTGCTGTTAAGAATCAGCCGGCCTCCATCAGTACTTCCAGCCAGAGAGGGGCACGGAAGAGCAGCTCTTGAAAAAGTGCCTTGGACTAGTTTTGAGGCAACTCTTCAGTGCCCCCGCCAGCCAGGTCGATCTCGCTGAGCTTGAGCAGCGCGCGCAGTGAGGAGCGGCTCTTGGAGAAGTGCCTAAGACTGCCCCGCAGGTCCGTGCCCTTCCGCATCATAACCTTGAACTCGTCGAAACTGATCTTGCCATCCTGGGGTATGGGAAAGGCAGAGATGGGGAGACGGGAGAGACAGGAGAGACAGAAGAGATGGGAGAGACCAGCAGAGAGATCAATTTACTATGGTAAGGCCCCTCAAGTCGATGAGGCCCCTCAAGCTGATGCACAGATGCCTTCGTGTGTGGATGGAAACATGTGGATGGAAACATGTGATGTGACCCTGCATAGAGTGCAGGTGGCTTTTGGGGGAAAAAGTGCAGTGTATAAAGTAATGCTGAGGCAGTACGCATGGGCTCCGGATGCATGGAATACGCCAACCTTCTTGTGTGCATTTCAGACAGCGCTATTCGCATGTGTTTCATGCACGTTCAACTCACATTGTCGGTGTCCCCCTCAGCCAGGATCTCCTTGAGTGATGTCAGGTCGGCTCCCAGGGCATCGCCAGCTCCTCCTCACTGAGAAAAACCCGCTTCTCTCCAAATCAAGACTCAAGAGAATCAAGCGCATTCTGTGGCGCCTCAGCAACCATCCAACTCACATTGTTGGTGTCCACCTCAGCGAGAATCTCCTTGAGTGACGTGAGGTCGGCTCCCAGCGCGTCCGCCAGCTCCTCGATGTCGATGAACCCGCTGCGGTCCGAGTCAAAGAAGTCAAACGCCGCCTGCAGGTTCTTCTCGTTGTCCACACGCTGCAGATGCATCGTGGCGGCTACAAACTCGCTGTAGTCAATCTCGCCGTTGCCGTCGATGTCCGCCTGAAAGGCAGCCATGGGACGTGGGAAGAGGAAAGACCAACACGTGGTGTGGGAGGACCATCCCATGGATTGCAAACTGTGCTCTCTGCGGCTTATACACCTGTGCTCTCTGCGGCTGGTCTAGACTAACGCACCTCACAGCTCATTTTCAAATCCCCGTGAGTGTCAGGAAAGGGAAGGGAACAAGCGTAGGCACCTGCCTGCTCAATGCATCCAGCATGTAGAATGCATCAAGCATGCACTCACCGTGTCCATGAGCCCTGCTCTCACCGCGTCCATGAGCCCCTGCACTCACCGCGTCCATGAGCCCTGCCCTCACCGCGTCCATGAGCCCTGCACTCACCGCGTCCATGAGCCCTGCACTCACCGCGTCCATGAGCCCTGCACTCACCGCGTCCATGAGCCCTGCACTCACCGCGCCCATGAGCCCTGCACTCACCGCGTCCATGAGCCCTGCACTCACCGCGTCCATGAGCGCCTGCACTTCGGCGTCGGAGAGCGGCGAGCCGATGCGGCGGAGCCCGTTGCGCAGCTCCTCGAGGGTGAGTGTGCCGTCGCCATTCTCGTCGATGATCTTGAACACCTCCTGCAGCCCCTGCATCTCCTCCGCTGACGACAGCTGGTCCGCTATCACCTGAGGCGGGGGGGGGGGGGGGGGGGGGGGGGGGGGGGGGGTTTGCGGGGGTTTGCGGGGGGGTTAGGGAGGGGAGAAAATGAGGGGGTTGGGGAGAGGCGGAGGGGAGGGGAGTTAGAGGGACCTTGAGCACCTCCTGCGGGGCCCGCATCTTCTCTGCTGTCGGTAGCTGGTCCGCTATCACCTGATGATGGGGGATGCTGCAAGCAAGGGGGGAAGGCGGTGGGGGAGTGGGGAGGGAGGGAAAAGGGGTTAGAGGCACCTAAGGTCCATTCTCGTCGATGATTCTCGTCGATGATTCTCGTCGATGATCTTGAGCACCTCCTGCAGACACGGCACCTCCTCCGCTGATGACAGCTGGTCCGCTATCACCTGAGAGGGGAGATGAGGTGGTGAGTGTGGGGGAGATGGGTGAGACAGGGTTAGAGGGATGGGGTTGGGGTTAGAGGCGCCTTGAGCCCATTCTCGTCTGTGATTTTGAACACCTTCTGGGGGAGGTGTTGTCTGAGCTGGCTGACTCAAGAATGCTGAGGTGCTTCTGGCTCGGCTGTCAGCAGAAACCTATTTTGAGAGCCATTTTCCTGAGCTTGATCATGGGCTTGGATTGACTGCATGCGCTTGTATGTGTTGACTCAGTGAAACAAACAGCACTTGCCTTGCTGCACTGGGACCAAGCAATCTGACCTTGAGCGCCTTCTTCTTGAGCTTGTTCACGGCTTGGAACGACTGCATGCGCTCTTATGCATTGACTCATGATGATACAACCAGCACAGCACCTAGCTTCATGGTTACCAAACAGCGTTACCTTGAGCGCCTTCTTCTTGAGCTTGTTCATAGCTTGGAACGACTGCATGCGCGACAGCACCTCCACTCCCAGCGGCGTGTCCGGCGCCTCGTTGGCGTCCCGCAGCCACGGGTGCTCTGGTGGGGTGGGGAGGTGGGTGGGGGAGGGGAAAGCGAGAGAAAGGTGAAGTGACTTTGGGGTCAACCTGGAAGTGTCTGGCGCCTCATCGGCATCCCTCAGCCACAGGTGCTCTGGTTGAGTGGGAAGTGGGTGGGGGAGAGAGGGGGAGTTGGGTGGTGACAGCAGTAAGGAGATGAGTTTGACAATTTACAGGACAAAGGAACTGACGCAAGCAGGAGGAATTGCAGGAGGCGCAAGGGGAAAGACGCACTGACGGAGCTACTTGCTGCACGGTGGGGCACTTGGAGGCATCGAGCTGCAGCAAGAGCAAGACTAGACGCGAGCAAGCAAGACTAGAGCATTATGACTCCATCTGTTGCAATTCGCAAGGAAGCAGGCAAACGTGATTCTGGCAAGCAGAAGCTAACAGTCAAGGCGAGGAGGCGGAGACGGGGGTGGGGGGGGGGGGAGAGCACTGACGGAGGACTTGCTGAGCGGTGGGGCGCTTGGAGGTGTCGGGCTGCAGCATGAGCATGACGAGGTGCTTGGCGCCGTCCGACACCTTGGGCCACGGGTCCCGCTTCAGGTCCACCTGCGACCGCAGCACCGCCTGGGCCACTCCCTGCTCGGTTTCTGTTGTGAGAAAGTAAGGGTACAGCATCATGAGGACAGTGCAAAGGACACATTGCAATGAGCATGGCGAGGTGCTTGGCGCCGTCAGACACCTTGGGCCACGGGTCCCGCTTCAGGTCCACCTGCGACCGCAGCACCGCCTGGGCCACTCCCTGCTCCGTCTCTGTGGTGATGGAAAGGGAAGGGTGGGACGAGGGCAGTGCAACAGGCACAGCGCACCACTGAGCCTGACGAGGCACCTTGGCCCACGCCACAGGTCCGTTTTAGGTCCACCTGCGACCGCAGCACCGCCTGGGCCACTCCCTGCTCGGTTTCGAGGTGACTTTTGAGTCGACTCAAAAGTCACACCGCCTGGGCCACTCCCTGCTCGGTTTCTGTTGTGAGAAGGTAAGGGTACAGCATCATGAGGACAGCGGAAAGGACACATTGCAATGAGCATGGCGAGGTGCTTGGCGCCGTCAGACACCTTGGGCCACGGGTCCCGCTTCAGATCCACCTGCGACCGCAGCACCGCCTGGGCCACTCCCTGCTCGGTCTCTGCCATGTTCGGGTGAGGGGATGCATTGAGTGGCGAGCAGTGAGCGCACTTGATTTTGCAGGGTGTTTTTGAGAATTCTCAAAAACACCCTGAAAAAGCAGTGAGCGCACCGCACTGCCATGCCAAAATGCAGGGAGGAGAGAGGGAGCGCTGTGTGCTTGTCTTCAAAAGACAGGGTCCGTCCGCCTGCCGTTAACGCACTGCCTGCTGCACCACTCCGTGCTCGGCTTCTGCTGCGATGCGGTCGGGTCAGGATGGTGGATGGGCAGCACATATTTCAGGATTACACTGTAATGAGGCCTTTGAAATGGCACATTGGAAAAACCGCAAGGAGGGGGGGTGGTATGGTGGTGGCCCAACCTGCCCAGAAGGGCGGCACGCC